TATTCTTGTTTCTGTTTTCTGTGTCTTTTTCCAGATTCTTGCTTTCAATCTTTGCCTTCAAACTCCAAGGTGCCAATCGCCGAGAAGAGCTTTGATCAATTTCTTCAGGAGGTTGATGCTGAGTTCGAGGACGAGAAGGCTGCTGAGAAGTCTTCCCAACTATCTTCTGGGGGTGAGACACAACCTACCGCTGATTGCCACGTGTCCGAGCTGAGAGTTAAGTCAGCCGGCAGAGAGAGAAACCCCTCATTTGTTGTATATTGTTTTGAAGAGTAGAGAGAGAAGCTCTAGAAGAGGGAGAAGAGTTCTTGAGAGAGAGTAGATTTCCAAGCTTGATTCCTAGAGATCCAACCGTTAGATCCGCGTTCTAAGGTTAGATTCTTGATCTGCTCATGATGTTCTATATGTTTATGATATTGCATTGCATGGGATCCAAACGGGAAACCAACATTACAGAGTGAGCTAACAGGTAGTGCCGCAGTTTCCTGGTAGCCCATACCGAGGCCAAACAAGCCTTCTCCAGTGGAGTGTAGCGGGTCTCGTAATCCAGCATCTTCTTGCTTAGATAGTAGATGGCCCTCTCCACTTTGTCCTCTGACTCTTGTGCAAGCATGCAACCCATCGTGGTTTCGGTCACTGAAAGATACAATATCAATGGCCTCCCCAGCTCTGGTGGTGACAACACAGGCGGGTTCTGTAAATATTCTTTGATCTGTTCAAAAGCTGCTTGACATCGGCCATCCCATTAGAACTTCTTTCCTTTCTTCAGGAGACCAAAAAGTGGTTCACAAGTCAAGGTTAATTTTGAGATAAACCGTCTTATGAATTTCACTTTACCTAGAAAGCCTCGCACCTCCTTTTCAGTCATTGCTGGTGGCATTTCCAAGATGGCCTTGATTTTGGAAGGGTCGATCTCGATGCCCCTTTGTGTAATCAGAAACCCTAGCATCTTCCCGGCTATGACACCGAATGTACACTTTTGAGGATTCAACCGCAGCCGAAACTCTTTGATCCTTTGGAAAAACTTCTGTAGGGCGGCGTAGTGGCCTTCTCTTTCTTTGGACTTGACAATCATGTCGTCCACGTACCCCTCGACCTCTTTATGGATCATGTCATGCAAGATCGTGGTTGCTGCCCGTTGATAAGTAGCTCCAGCGTTCTTCAACCCAAATGGCATCACTCTGTAGCAATATGTACCCCACGGGGTAGTGAATGCAGTCTTCTCCCGGTCTTCGGGTGCCATTACTATCTGATTATAGCCTGAGAAGGCATCCATAAATGAAAGCAAGGCGTGTCCTGCCGTGAAATCTACCAATTCATCAATGTGCGGCAAGGGAAAGTCGTCCTTCGGACTGGCCCTGTTCAATTCTCTGAAGTCTACACATACCCGAATTCTGCCATCCTTCTTCGGTACCGGAACTGTAATAACCCACATTCATGTCTTAGTCATGTTCATGTACATTTGCATGATTTTGTCTTGTTAAGCTTGCATTTGTAGACTTGGACTTGTTTTGTCTAGGTAAAGGTTCTTGTCTTGTCTTGATGCTATCATGTTTTCCCTAAGTGTTGTATGCATGCTTTGTTCCTTCCTTGCTATGTCAAGCCTAGGTCATGTTAAGCCTAGGTCATGTTAAGCCTAGGTCATGTTAAGCCTAGGTCATGTTAAGCCTAGGTCATGTTAAGCCTAGGTCATGTTAAGCCTAGGTCATGTTAAGCCTAGGTCATGTTAAGCCTAGGTCATGTTAAGCCTAGGTCATGTTAAGCCTAGGTCATGTTAAGCCTAGGTCATGTTAAGCCTAGGTCATGTTAAGCCTAGGTCATGTTAAGCCTAGGTCATGTTAAGCCTAGGTCATGTTAAGCGCCTAGATCATTCCAAGCCGAGGTCATCTTCAATCTAGAAGTATCTTGGAACCCCTTTGTTTGACCTCCACCTTTGCTTTGACATATTGGCCGAGATGTCTTATCTAGGCCGAGGTATGAATCACCAAGGCCGAGATGTGTATTATCTTGGCCGAGATGTTACCTTTGCACCCAAGTGATCTTGTCCTGGAGTGGTATGACCTAGACCGAGGTGTGGCACATCTAGGCCAAGGTGTGGCACAGCTTAGTCAAGTGTTGTCCTTCCTAGCCGAGGTCATTGTCATCTTAGTTGCCGAAGTCTTATTGTTAGCCGATGTCACCACTTGCCGGAGTGCCATCCCGAGTAGCTTGTTAGATACGCCTTGTCAGAACCTTGTCTTGTCAATCCATCACCTTTTTGAAGAGGACCAACCAGCCGTTGCCACGTGGCCGAGCTGAGAGTTAAGTCAGCCGGTAGAGGGAGAGACCCATCATTTGCTGTATATTGTTTTGAAGAGTAGAGAGAGAAGCTCTAGAAGAGGGAGAAGAGTTCTTGAGAGAGAGTAGATTTCCAAGCTTGATTCCTAGAGATCCAACCGTTAGATCCGCGTTCTAAGGTTAGATTCTTGATCTGCTCATGATGTTCTATATGTTTATGATATTGCATTGCATGATTGAATATGATTTGTAAGCCATGCATTGCTTTGAAGTTCGGTTTTAGAAAGAGAAAATGGTTTTCATGTGTTCTTCAAGAAAAGTCATGTTTTGATCCGAAGGCTCATGCCTAGATCCATGTTTTTGTGTTTGTTCTTGCATGATTTTCAAGTATGGGTACCCAGGTCCATGTTTTCGAACTCATGTAATGAAATCCCAGATCTTGTAATAACAAGTTATGATTTTAGCATTCATGTTCTTCATGTTCTTCATGCTCATGTTCTTCATGTTCTTCAAGGAGGAAACCCAGATTTCCAGGCTTCATTTCCCTAGGTGTGATCACCGAGACCACTCTTGCCTAGATCATACACCTTGGTCTACCTTGCATGATCACTTGCACGTTAGTTTATCTTGCATGCACACCTAGGCTAACCACTGCACACCTAGGCCGACCATGGTACACCCATGCCGGCACCTTGTAACACCTCGGCAGACAGCTGCATACTGAAGCCTAGGTAACCACACCTCGGCCAAGAGGTGTGGGACCTCGGCCAAGACCTCCTGAGTTCACCCAGCTAGGTCGTTTTAGCCTAGATCATCTCTGTGCATCCATTCCAGGACCTGGTTGGTACCCAGCATGTTTTCCCTAGATGATTTCCAGCATGTTTTCCCTAGATGTTTCCAGCATGTTTTCCCTAGATGTTTTCCAGCATGTTTTCCCTAGATGTTTTCCAGCATGTTTTTCCTAGGTATTTCTAGCATGTTTTCCCTAGATGTTTCCAGCATGTTTTCCCTAGATGTTTTCCAGCATGTTTTCCCTAGGTATTTCCAGCATGTTTTCCCTAGATGTTTTCCAGCATGTTTTTGGATCATTGTCTGGCCGATTTGTTGCATGGATGGCAGGATGGAAGACTTCCGGTGGATATAACTTGCATAATAAGGTAAAGATTGAAGAATGCTACCGGTTATCACTGAATTTTTGGATTCAAATGTGTTGCCTAACAACATTTAATGCATCTACTTGCCAGCAATCATGATAGAGGACCAAACACCCATGTGATTCGATTTCTTGAAAGGCATGGGATCCCCTATCATTATTTGCACACAACTAAAGGGAATAAGAGAGAGGCAGAGAGAGGACTATAATGCTTTTGATGACATTTCTTGAAAGTCCTTAGTTGCAGGGGACTATAATGCTTTTGATGACATTTCTTGAAAGTCCTTAGTTGCAGGGGACTATAATGCTTTTGATGACATTTCTTGAAAGTCCTTAGTTGCAGGGGACTATAATGCAACTGCACTCTTGTCTTGATATGTCATCACCCCATGTATTATGTAGATGTTATTTAACATCCCAAGCAAGATTTGAAAGACCAAGATTTGATCGATGAACTTGATTCATCCCATGTTTTGAACAAGCTATGATATATGTATTGTTTTGACAAGGACCTTGGAAATCATTCATCAACCCCTTTATTACTTGTACCATTCACTGAGTATCCAAGCTCACCCTCCCTATGTATATATGTAGGTAATAAGCAAGAGGTCGGCTTCGCCAAGATGTGTGTTTTGTATGCTTGTTTGGTCGGTTGTAAGGATGTCGGCAACCCTGAAGATCATGTTCCATGTTTTGTATTTCATGTGTTATATTTATGTCGGCTTGAGAAGTCCTTTGCCAAGATGTAACATGTACTTTTGTAATCAAGTTATAAGTTATGTAAAGATGTATGCCATTCCATTTGACTATGCACTGCTTTTATGGACCACTTGTATTTTAGATTATTGCTTCCGCACTTGTGAGCCCCGTATATTGTACTCTGATTGTGTGTGAATTTTGTATGTTGGCCTTCGGTAATTACGGATTACTGGCCATCACGACACCAAACTACTAGGGGCGGTTTGGGGGCGTGACAGGAACAATGTTGGCCAACCAAGTTGGGTATTCGGATACCAGCAGGAAGCCTACATCGATTTGCTTGGTGACCTCTTCCTTGATCTTAATGGCCCAATCAGGACGAATTCTTTTGAGTTTCTGTTTGACAGGTCGAGCCTCGGGATCAAGAGGGATCCGGTCCTGTACAATCTCAGGATCGATTCCAGGCATGTCTTCGTAGGACCACGCGAAAACATCTTTGAAACCTTTTAATAAAGCGACTAAGCGCTCGCGTTCTTCCAAAGACAACGTGGACCCAATCTGGACCGGCCGCGGGTCCTTCTCAGTACCAACATTCACGGTAGTGATTTCATCTATTAAGGGTTTAACAAATCTTTCTTGCTCTTGATCAATTAGTCACTGCAAAACCGGAGGAATTTCTTCCTCGTCGTTTTCATCAAAATTTTGAAAATCCTGATTCAAGCAATAAATCAAAGGCACAGAAAAATACTCAGAAACCACATCCACATCATTCTCATTAAATACTTCCAAGCTGTCGATTTCCTCTGTTACAATAGATTCAAAAGAAAATGAAAATGACGACCTAGACAGGACTGTGGCATCCGGGTTATCACCCTCAGGAATACCGGACTCAGACTCAGTTGAGCTGGAACCTGATTCCGACGCACAAGATTCGGTGGAATCAGATTCCGGCTCACTACCTGACCCGGTGCTGCTAGATAAAAAGCCTTCTTCATATTGCCAGACGAGAGAGGGTGCGATGGATGCATCCAAAATAGTTGATGGTAGGCCCGCAACCGTCTCATTCCCAATCATGCATACCGAGGAGTTATCCCCCAAGCACTTCTGTTCGATCGGAGGATCTGAAAGTAGACATGCCAGTGCTACCCCCATTTTATTTTCAACGTCCTCAGACTGCACTTCCTTACTTTGCTCAGCCTCGGCCAATGGGTCTGTCTGCTCTTCGGCGAGGTCATTCTTAGGCAGCTGTAGATCAAACAAAATCTCAAACCCCGGCACGCGTTTCCTCTCTGCATTCAGCCACGGCTCGGGGAAGCCACATAATGGAAAGTCCTCCCCTTCCCGGACGAAGCGTCCGTTCAGGGTACCCTGAATGGGCCGGTGTATCAAGTCAAAGGGCTTCCCCATCTGTTTTGCTTTGGCTCTTCCGGGCATCTCCTTTCCTTTCCTTATCCAGTCCTCTTTGGTGGGTAGGTAACCCAATCCAAAGGTATGAGGGTTGTGTGGCACTTCGGCCAATGTCGCGACGCCTTTCCGGCCACTTTTCCCCAATCCCATCCCGGGGATGTGATGGAGTTTGTTCATGAGATAGACTGCTTGGGCACTGACATATACCCCTTCATTAGCTGCCATGATGTCCTGTACAACCCGAACCTCGGCCAAGGTAAAACCCGATATGAACACATCTTCCATACCATGCTCGATTTCTAGAAGAGGCGTAGATACCTCCGGCGGCAGATGAATTGATGAGTTTCCGAAAACAATGGCTACTCCATTTCCGTAGGGGTATTTCACCATTTGATGTAGGGTGGAGGAGACCGCCTTTACCTGATGCAGCCACGGCCGCCCTAAAAGCAGGTTGAAAGTTGCAGGAACCTCTAAGACATGGAAATCTATCTCATGTTGTCTCGGCCCAACCTTTGTTTGAATTTTAACTGTTTCCATTACTTCCCGACTCGTGTTGTCATACGCCCGAATTACCTGGGCCGTTGGCATGAAATCCGCGATTTTCAAACCGATCGCATAAGCTGTCCTTGCCGGACAGACATTGATGGCAGACCCCGTGTCGAAAAGCACTACGGGTATCCATTTATCTCTGCACTCCACGGGTGAGAGAAGCGAGAGAGTATGGTTCGCACCCTCAGGTGGCAGTTCTTTATCAGAAAAA